TTTGATATTCAACACTATATTTCAATTAAACACTATACTGGTATTTGATATTTTAGAAGTCACTTTGGTATTTTCTATGTGAGCGAAAGGAAGATTGCTGAACTTGTATATAGAAATTATGTCAAATAAATGGTGATTAAAGATCTCTATATAATTATGATTATTTTTTTAAATAAATATTATAGATTTCTGATAATATATACGTCTACAAACTGCAATTTTAGTATAAATTTCAATTCCATATTTAATAATGTACAAGTCACTTTCGTATTTTTCAAAGTGAGCGAAAGGAAGATCTCAGAACTTGTGTATAGCAATTATGCAAATAAATGGCATTTAAATCATCATAGTGATTATTTTTGAAAAGAAATATTATGAGTTGCTAAAAATATATACGTCTTCAAACAGAAAATTCACCGTAAAATTTTATTAAAACGGTACAATTCAAATTTTAAAAGTCACTTTCGCTCACTTTCGCTCACTTTCGTCAAAAATCTCACTTTCGTATTTTAGGCATACCGAGTAAAAGACCTTTCGAAAGAATTCGTACTCAAAATTGTTCGAACCAGAAATATGCCTGTTATAAAAGATAGGTAATCTATCACAATCTGTATACTTTTAAATTTCAATTACATTTTCTGAGACACATTTATATGGTTTGTAATGCATTGAATCAATGATTGATGGTTGTGTCTGGTCAAAAATCTGTCATTCGTAGACATATATGTCACTATGTGGATAATATAGGCCTACGTCTCTGTCTAATTTTAAATGAATTTTTTAAACCATGTACATAAGTCTTACCCCTCACTGCTGTTAGTTTGAATCCTTGCAGGGACTTTGGATTCTTTCATGTGAGGAAGCTATCCTGCTAGCTTACGGAATGTCAGTGGTTCTATTTGGGTGCCCTTTCATGCTTGAAGTTGAAATAATGCATGGAAGGGCACCTGTACGTAAAGCTGCAAAGTTGCCACATAACCTATTCTGTGTTGTAGGGCTGTGCATTGCCATTTTTAGCTTGACTATACGAAGTATATGGAGAGCTGTCCTACTCGCCCCGGCGTCGGCGTCCGCGTCCGCGTCCAGATTTTAGATTAAAGTTTTGGTGCAGTAAAATATTTTTCACTATAACTTTGTCATTTCTTAAGGTATTCAACTTCAAACTTCAAATATATGTTCCTTATCATCAACCACATCTTATGTGACAAGGTTCATAACTCTAGCACCAATATTTTTAGATTTATCTCCCCTGGAACTTAGAATTTTCCTCAAAAAATACTTTTTTTTTCTTTTACTACTTTGTTTCTTAAGGGATCAACATCATACTTCAAATATATATACCTTATCATCATCCCCATCTTATGTGACAAGGTTCATAACTCTAGCACCAATATTTTTCAGATTTATCTCCCCTTGAACTTAAAATTTTCCTCAAAAAATACTATTTTTTACTGTTACTTCTTTATTTCTTAAGGGATCAATCGCATACTTCAAATATATTTACCTTATCATCAACCCCATCTTATGTGACAAGGTTCATAACTCTAGCACCAATATTTTCAGATTTATCTCCCTTTGAACTTAGAATTTTCCATAAAAAATATTATTTTTTACTGTTACTTATTTATTTCTAAAGGGATCAACTTCATACTTCAAATATATTTACGTTATCATCATCCACATCTTATGTTACAAGGTTCATAACTCTAGCACCAATATTGCAAGAATTATCTCCCCATAAACTTAGATTTTTTTACTAGAAAAATGTTATTTTTTATTATAACTTTTTTATTTTTAAAGGTATCTACCTCAAACTTCAAATACTTATTCCTTATCATCAATTACATTTTATGTGACAATGTTCATAACTCTTGAAGCAATATTTACAGATTTTTCTCTCTTTGAACTTAGGATTTTCTTTACTTTTTAAGGTGTCTACTTCAAACTTTAAATATATATTTCTTATCATTACACAAATGTTGTGTGACAAGGTCCATAACTCTAGCATGACTATTTCAAGAATTATTCCCCTTGATCTTGAAATTTATGTTAACAAATGCTATTTTTTTACTATAACTTAATACATAATTATACAGTAAAAACTCGCTAATGAGACCAATGACGGGACTTTACAAATCTGGTCTTAATAGCGGGTTGGTCTCATTAATGAGTTTGGCCAAACAGAAAACTAGGCAATATATTAAGGGATATCATGTACTGTACACATGTTTAATTCTGGGCTAACCTATTTCAAATGAGAAGATATAAAGCATGCACTATTATTTTTTTATTTTCATTTATTTTCTTTTACTTTTTAACATTATAAATTTTTTATACTTCTTTAGAGGTACAAAACGTATTATGAATGTCTTTAAACACAAACATATTTTTACATTATTGTTAAAAGAATGACACGACATACTCTATTAAATCACCATTTTACTACAAAGCACACCGAACAATTAACCTTTAATTATTTTCACAGTTTTCATCGCCGATAACAACTTCAAAAACCTAATCGTTTTTGTTTAAAATTATGGAACGAAAGAGATAATGATAGCAGCAACACCTCTAAAAAACTTATTGAAAGTTTTCTGTTCAATACTTTGTTGTTTTAATCCCCCAGTTATGACATTAAAGGTGTGAAATTAAGAAATTATCGGCAATATTATTGATCATTTCCGGGTTTGATACCAAGTAACCTTGACCTCTGCCGTAAACTGGATGTCGTAATATGTCGTAAAACTAGGACAACTGTTGTTTACATCACGTGTCAAAAAGATTTCAGCAATATACACGCATGTCAATATCAAGGTGAGAAAGTGCCTGCGGTCGTATTTATGGGTTTCCAAACGTACAGAATTTACGAAATGGGACTGAATTTACTGGTCGCATTACGGAATAACGGGGTGGTCTCAAAATCGGGGTTAGCGACCATTAAAATAAAGAATAAAAAATTCGGGTCTTTAAAAAATCGTTCGTATTAGCGGGTTGGTCTCGAAAACGGGGTGGTCGTAAAGCGGGTTTTTACTGTACATAATTGATTTTTCTTTCGTATTTTGTCCTCCTTACTGCGTCCAGTATTTTATTAGTCGAGCTTCGCTGTCTCCTGTGACAGCTCTTGTTTTCTGTCACGATACATATCACGATATTTGTTTTTCAAAACGATGCGATTCACGATATGTATTGCATACTTTGAAGAAATGCGATGCATATTGCGATTCTTATGTTGCGATGCGATACGTATCACGATACTGACTTTTAAACTTAGTATATAAAAAATTGGCCTTTTGTTTACAACATAATTACGAATATAATATAAAACTATTACAATAACAAAAAAATAAACTCTTTAACTTGTTGTTATAACTTGGTTTCCGGTTTTGACAATTTACTTTTGTGATTACTTGAGGATTAAAGGTATTTTTAATTAAACCATAACAGCAAATTGATATCTACTAGCTATTCTAACACTAAAGTCCACTACTGTAAATATGGCAGTTTAACAATTTCAGTCTTACAATACACCACTAAAGATTTTTCTTGTGAAAAAAATAGTAACAAGTGATCTACAATTAGGTCAACAACTGTGAAAATGACAGTTTATAAGTTTCAGTCTCAGTTTTCTCGAAAGATTTGTGCTCAACCCCAGAGTATTTTATTTTGAGTTTGCAAACGTCCGGTCTTCCACATTATACAACACTGTCTGATGGTTCTCCAAAAACTACAATTTTCCCAAAACTCGTGACTTATATGACCAGGGAGGATTGACTGTAATTTCCCCGTCTACAAACTTTTGCAGTCTTCATGTTTTCTGTTTGTTTGTTTGCTTTGTTGATTTTTTACGGGAAAATGATGTCAACGGAAATGAAAGGATAAATACGTGACGAATATCACATGGGGATGTTGTCATCATCACTATTTTAATCCGACATTTAAGTGCTACAAAACAAATGTTTGAAGGTTGTTTTTTCTTGAAATCGCACAGATCTCTAATTATGTTTTTATTATAAACAAGTTCAAAGAACACCAACCCATTTACATGGAATTGATAAAACTTGGTTAGTAACCGTTAAATGATTGCGGACATTGGCAAACGAGATGACAACGATGGTATGATAATAGTCGCGCTTGTTTATTGTTTTCATCCGAGCTATTTTTCTTTCTTCAGTCTTTCAAAAATACGTTTGTCCTTATATTCCTAGAAGATATTGTTAGTGTATTGTGATACCTTCCCGCTGTATCGATACATCGGGAGGTGAAATATGTATTGCATCGCAATATATTGGAATTTGTAATGTCATTACGATGCATACATCGGGGACAAGACAGATCGCGATGCATCGATGCATCGATGAATCGTTACACCTCTACTGTGTTGGTGTCACATTAAACACACAACCAATAAAAAATAATATGTGAATTTTTTGATAACTGTGCATATAAATGTGTTGGGCACATGCAAGAATTCACAAAATTGAAAACCTTGCTAAACACTGTTAAGTCAATAATATGTTGTGAACAAGCAAATTTAAACAGTCTAAAGGTCAAGGTGAAACTTAATTTTATGTCATCGTTATTTTAGTGCATTGACGGTTGTGTTCAGTTAACAGTTCTATTATATTATAGTAAGTGGGTTTAATTTTGTGGTACACTAAGAAAACATGTCCTGCACAGACTCCAGGTTGATAGGTGAAAGGTAAACTTGAATGTCAAAATAGTATTTGCTCATATCTAAAAGCTTTTTGAAATAATTGGGCATATTGAGAATATAAGGAAGTGCTTGTTTATGTTTCATCATTCTTAGAACACTCTTTATAGTAACCATGACTTTGTTGTTATTTAAAGGTCAGGTATCCTATACGATGAATCACAGTCCTACCTGTAATTATTAGTGTAATAATGTAAATGTTAATCTATAAAGCAGTGGTATACATTTGATTACTATATGTATCAGAACTGAAGCATTTGTATTTTTATCACTTTGTCATTAATTTCAGGTACAAGTCAAAGAGTAACACCATACTTGCTGTGCCCTCAGGGTTCAGTGGATCATGGATGATCTTAATGTAGACAGTGACAATGTACAGAATATTATCGCCCACTTAGAAGAGACAGATTCCAAACATGTTGTTACACCAATCAGTGTTGGAGGAGAACCTGTCAGTATTAAATGTCTCTGTAAGTTGTTACCATGATTTTTCAGCATTGTTGGATTATTGATGCATAGGTCACCTTTTAGAAGAGACAAAGTGTCACAATTACTATCTAAATTAGTAGTTACTATCTTAATTAGTAATGGAGACAAATAGAAGCATTTTCAGTGATGATTACTTTCACTTCTTATGAAAAAAATAAGTTATAACTATTATGATTTAAAGGCACATTATGCCTGAAAAACAAATACTTTTTCATTCTTTAGAAAGGGCAAAATGAAATTTTATAAGGTTATAATGTTTAAATAATGGTTTTAGATTAATGTAAGTAAGGTGCTTGTTACCTGAAAAAAGGAATGATACATTGTAAATGTGAAATAATTTGTCATACTATAAAAAGTAGCAAAATGTATTCAAAGTAGTATTTTGACATCCATACAAAATACTAATTCACTATAACTGTACTTATTGCCAAAACGCAACAGATCAGAAAGATGGTTCAGGTAATTGGCCAATGAGTAGCTTTTAGAATACTACAAAATTAATAAACTTTTGAAAAATGAAAGTAAGAGCATTTCTGAGGCATAATGGGCCTTTAAGCTTTAAATTATCAATGACAACATAAAATAACAACAGTTGTGACAAAATTTTAGGGAGTGAAGGAGACGCCCATCAGCTGAGTCTGGAAGTACTTCAAGATGGTATTAAAGTGAAAACACCAGATGATGATCCATCGTTAGATCCTGGAATAGGTGAAAATAGCAGTGACCAGATCCTCCATAATGACCACGAGCTTCATGTAAACCAATTAAAACAAGAAGCAGGTATGTTTGACAATGTTATAATTACAAGGTTTGTTCTAAAAGGATTGAGGCTGTCCTTTTCTCATGTTTTAGTTTGCCTGCACAATTTTACAAGAGAAAAATATCGGAATGTGTCCTCTATATACACAGTAACAGTGAAAAAATCAATTCAGTATGTTTAAAAAATAACAATTCTGTGCAAATTTCAAATAACAAGGGTTAAGCAACCTAGCATTGATCACAATACAACAAATGACATTTGTGACATTGCAGAAAGAATAGAAAAATTTAAATGTTACAAGGGTCATTGTTTTTGTGAGTACTCACATTTGTGTTTTTCCCCTGATGATGTAATCATAACCATGTCATGTCAGGCCTCGACACTAACTTTTTTAGCAGGTGGTAAGCCGGACCACTAGATTTGAAATTTAGGTGGTCCTTCCAGAAGTCAGGTGGTCAATTATTATTACCATATTATTTTTTCATTGTTTTTGAATTTTGACTCTTTGACTGCAGATTTTGGAAAAAATGCTTTGAATTGATGACAAAGGTGTATAATTAACCTTTACAGTAAAGAAAACAGATATATTTAGATATATATTTTTTCATCTAATTAGAAATGTAGAAGAGAAAGTCAGTAGGTATTCTATCGTAAAGTTATCTGGTTTTCTTCATTCAAAAATACATAATAGGGTTTGTATTTATGTTATTTTTATATTGAAACGACTACTCCTTCAACTTAATTTGTGGAATAGTAAAACCATTAATTTTGTATCTGCCTTATTTTCTTACTGTTATTCAAATATTCATTGCTGATACATGGTGCGTCTAACTCTTATAATCAAGATCAATTTCTGTTATAGATTAACATTTTTAATAAAACTATTTAATTATCTAATTCTTGTCTTTAAAAACAAGCAAATATCTAAGGATAAAAAAATAAATAATACCAACGCTAAATATAACTATAGTTTAACTTATTTTTCTCCAAGCCTATCATACAGAATTTTTACCTCCCTGCTGCTTGTTCAGGTTGATATTTATTTCTGACATTGTGTATTTTTAACCTTTTGAAGTAATTTAACTCTGGAAGAAATGGATCTCTTATCGTTATAAATAAAGATAAGTAGCAAAGAATTACTAAAAAATCCATTTCTTTTCATTTGCTGCCATTATTCAAGTATCTGAAATTTAAGTTCATCCAATGTTCCATACAATATCATAATTACTAGCAATAGAATCATTTGAATGAATTTTCAACCTAAATTAATATCACAAATTCTCACCTCTTTTAACTTGCATAAACAAAATTTTAGCACCTTAAAATGAAAGTTATTGATGACTTAAGAAGTTCTTAAACTAATAAGAGATTAATGAACCGTATACATGTACATCGGACAAATGATTTTAAACACCAAGTATATAACATGTTTTGACCAAATCGCCATTATAACTCCAAAATAAGCCTTGCACCAACCAGATAATTCAACTGGTCCAACGGACCAGTGTCTTTTAAAATAAGGTGGTCCTTGGCAAAATCAGGTGGTCTCGGACCAACGGACCACCGCTCATGTCGAGGCCTGCATGTATATTATGATGATGCAAGAAGAAAGCGGTCACCTTCTCACTCCACTCTCTGCAGGGAGGTCCAGGAGTCTGCCACATTGGTAACAGTACTTTTTAACTTATTATAACTTCTGGTTAGATTTTAATTATGAACTTATATTAGTTAATGATTCTCTTTCACAGAATCTGATGACAACTCTATCCTGACAGCTGGTGAGATCAGTGAGGGGCATATATTACACGTACACGAGAATGTGAATACTATATTATCTGATAGTACAGGAAGCATGACTGTAACCACAAGTCTTGCTGGAGATCTCAACTCCCAAACTTCACAAGATGTTATACAACTTCTTCTCCCTTCATCAGACGAGGTAACTTATTCTTGCTCAACTAGCTTTTCTTATTAAGTGTATTGTAGTAACCTCAGTCCAAGTTATTCAGCTTTATTCAGTTGTTTTGATTTGAAGTGGGCACATAAAATACACTTCATATGTAGTCGTGCGAAAGTAAAATTTGCCTAAGCTCAATAGGGAAAACATCAGATATGTTATCCAGTGGCCACAAGTTCAGTCCTCAGGCTAGGACAATTGAAGTTTGACATCAAGTCAAATGGTCATTTGTCTCTTACTGCTGATTCAGAAATTATGTGAGATTAGCAGTCAAGGGAAAATTGGTAATATCTGTTAAGTTACAGAGGAAAGCCGGATAAAAAAATATGTTAAAATCAGCATAAAATCCAGTCAAACAAATAACAATATATTGGCTTTTACTGATTAATGTAATGCCACTTTTTATTTAACATTTTGCTGTTCAGTTTCAAATTTTATATTTGCAAAACACAAGAGTTTATGAATTGTTTCTTTGTTAAAACAAAGAAAAATTTGAATTTGTTTCAGGCTTCAGGGAATCACAACACAGGTGGCGTTCCTGTGATGAATCTTGATACAGGAGTGATAACGACTGAGGATTTGGGCCCCCCTCACCCTACACAGACAATACAGGCCATTACACTGGCTGATGGAAACACAGCATTTATACAACATCCAGGTTAAATTCTCATATATTTTCTAAGTGGGATAGCAAGCTCAATCTTTGTTTTTGTGTTTAAAAGTTGCTATCATTAATATTTCTTATTACCATTAATGATTATGTTAAGTCGAGCCATGTAATAAGTCAAAATGGACTCAAAGTTGAATCAATTTTTAAAATATGTAATGATGATATTTTATTATAAAAAAACATCTTAATCACAATGTGCTATTTCTTTGCAGTTTGTTTGTTTTTAAAGATCTTATAATACTTCGATTTTCATTGGATAATCATGATGTTTGTATTATATGTATCCATATACATGGCCAATGCAAAGCTGGGAAATAATTTCTATTGTAATGAACATTAAATTTCTTATAAAGACCTTAAACAGATTAGTTTAAACAGAATACATTTAAATTCAATTGTGTAGGAAGCTATCAGCTTATAGAAATTCTCTAGTATCTGTTCCTGAAAACAACCATCCAGAGCTAAGCAATTAGTGTATAGTTTCTTGGTTAAGAAAACAACGGCTTGACTCTGATGGGGTTTGAACATACGTGGCCAGCAGTCCTAAGATTATTTAAATCACTTGGCAATGCTGCAATGGCAGTGTATAAAAAACTCTTTTCTTTGCCATTTAATAGTCGAGGCTTCCATTATTTCAAGTATGGGAGTTACTTACTAAACGACTTTTGCTAGTGACTTTCTAAATTTCATGATTTTTGTTCCTTATCATATAATATGACTTTAAATTTCATATATTTTACAGAGTGATTTCCAGATTTTAGAACTAATTAAGGCTTGGTTTAAGAGTTCTGATGTAAAAAAATAGTTTCTTTTTGTGATGGTAAACAACACCTTTTTGTATCTGAATAGGTGGCTCTAAATTTCTTGAAGGACAAACTATAACATTAGATGATGGTACTACAGCTGTTATACAAGCTATCCCAGATAAATGTAAGTTTACTTTGTTTCCTTTCCCATTGCTACATGTAAGTTATTTTTAACACTGACAAGTTCCATTTTTATTAACTTGTCTGTTTCAAAAGAAAAAGTTTAGCTATTATGATCAGTGTGATATCATTGTTGTTGTTGTTGTCGTTGTATTTTTTTAAGAATATTCATCAAAACGCATGCAGTGTCCTGGCTTTTATAAAATTAGTTGTTGCTGGCAGGTTAATGGTTCCGAGACTACATTTGTAAATAGTAAAGTAAGAAAGGATTGGAGATAGGTGTATAGAGTTAATGGCTCTTTACTAGTGAACTAGCAAAAGCTAATCACTTTCAGTTTAAGCAGGTTAATATTTAGATTGTTATTTAGTGAATATGATGTTAAAATTACAGTGAATCTGATGTCATCAATATCAAATCAAAATATAGTTCAGACAGGAGGGAGTACCACAGGAGCAGTACACTTAGATGATACATCATTCCTTAACCAGGCTGTTAAAGGTATGTTAATCTTTATGAAAAAGTTATGCAAAATAAATAAATGTATTTCCAGTTAAATTGTTTGATTGATTTTACTAGAATGCTATCAATCTATTGTTTTTTTTGAAGTGGCTGTACAATATTGTAATAATGAGTGGGGTAGAGTTTAACAAGTTTTACTGAGCTAAGGTATTTAGTCTTGTTACAGAACTAGCTTTTATCACATACCCATGCCGCTTTTATGACTCCTCCGTGGTCGAGGGGTTAGAGTCTATGACTTCTAATCCAGTTACCTCTCTGGCGTAGGTTCGATCCTCGGGAGATGCTTTGGTAGTTAAGCGCGGAGGAAGGTAGTCTAGTACTGGTGTAACTCTCCAGAAACGATGGTTAGGAAACTACCCGCCTATATAACTGAAATACTGTTGAGAAAAGGCGTAAAATGAAACAAACAAACAAACAAACTTTTACGACTCCGTAAAAATGGTATTGCATGGCCGTGCATATATTTTGACATGACGTCATTTTCGTTATATAAACGTTAAGATGCGCTAAATGTTAGCATTATAATATAGGCGAGTCAATGATAAATGATTCTTTTTCACTTCAAACGGCCTTTAATTTTGATCTTTAATTTTAGTGTGTGATAAATAGAAAATTAAATTTGTGTAAGTTTAATACTAAATTTATGAACTCGTTGACAGAGGCTCTCATAATATAATTTCATTCATCTTGTTCAATAAATTCATTATTAAACTTACACTCATTCAATATCCTCTATTTTGAAGATGTTCTACTTCCTGGTTAGATCTATTTTTAGTGTGACTATTTGAAGAATAGGGAAAGCTATTGTACTTATATCAGGCATAGGCATCACACTCTGATTAATTCTTTGTGTGCAAGTTGGTACATGTATCCTCAAAACCACTTGAGAGCATAAGGGAAGGTCACTGTTTAAGGCCCTGAACTCTTACATTGATTTTGACAAAATTATGGTCTTTTTTGAACATACAAAATTCTTCATTATCCAGGGCAAGCAGGCTGTCCTATCAACAGCTTGTTTTGGTGATTCATTAACAATAATCTCGTAAGATATTTTAGCTGTAAATGCATCAAAATATTTATTCTGTGATTATAGATGGACTTCAAGCAATTATTCTAGAAGATGGAACAACAGCCTACCTCGCCACACAGCAGACACCAGGTGGCACTGGTGGCCTCATAGACAGTTCTCAGCTAGAAGCTACAACCTTGACATTGGATCAGCTCACTTCATCAGGGGTATCAGGTGTACAGACAGTGCTCACAAATGGACTAGTCAATGTAGATGCTAAATCAATGGCTTCTACAACAACAGAATCTCAAATACAAGTAGGTTTTAATGTCGTAATAACTATTTCTACATTTTTTACCACTTACCAGAAAGGTGGCAGTCAATATAATATGGATTTTCTTCTCTCCACTTTTTCATTCAACGTTTTTGTGCACAGCATAACACAAAAACTTTTGGAGTTATCAACTTGTAACTATAAAGGTAGATAAGTGTTATACAGGAGATCTCCTGTACACAAGAATGATAACTCTTCCTTTCGCCATCCTTGAGGGTGTGCAAAAACTTTAATGTAACTCATTATTCAAACATTTTAAAAGTAATCAACATGAAACTTAAAATTCTTGCTTATCATGACATGGTGTAGTTGTTCGACAAGGGGCATAATTCTGACATCACTTTTTTTTGGGTTATTTCCTTTATAGCTTATAATTTTCACTTTTCACAAACTGATTTGTTATATTTTATCGAGGAAACACAGTGTATGTATGTTACCTATTAAATTACATTGTTAAAGGCATTGACTATGTGTATTCATGTGTAATTTCTTCTCACCATGTGTAATCTTTCAGGTAACAACAGTCCAAGGACAAACATCAGAGACTAAAGGAGCTGTGGCAGTATGTATTGTTTTTAACTCCTCTGAACACAATGTATACAATCTGAACAAAAGGCACTCAATCTAAAACTGCTCAATCTGAACACAAAGTGCTCAAAAGTGAGCATATGTTATATCTGATGTCTATATGCACAGTGGCGTCGGTGGCAGAGTAGTTTAGGTCATTGACTACAAACCACTTGTTTAGGTCCTTGACTTTAAACTACTTACCCCTCACTGCTATGGGTTCGAATCCCATCAGGGACTTTGGATCCCTTCATTTGAGGAGAATATCTAGCTAGATAACGAAACTTAGTGGTTCTACTCAGATGCCCAGAAATAATGCATGGTGGGGCACTTGAGGTCTTCTTCTACCAGTAAAGCTGGAAAGTTGCCATATGACCTAAAAAAATATGTCTATATGTATTGTCAACATCTACAGTTTCTTTAAACAACATTGTCTCCAAATCTGTTTGAAAAACTTTGATTTAACATCACAGCAATTGTCCATTACCAAAGCTATATATATAATATATAATATGGTATATGAGTTGGGCAAAAAGCTTTGTTTCCGTTTTGCTACTTTTACAACAAATTATCTTTAAATCACATATTATGGGAGGTATTTGGCAGCAAAAATGGCATCTTCAGGCTATCTTAACTGGTCATGTGGAGGGGGGGGGGGGGCAATGAAGTAAATATGAAGGTAACTATTGGATAGTATCAAAGTTACTTTGAAGAATACTAACTGCCCTTATGAAGGTGTTCATTTACTTTCAATTTACAAGTCAGGCATGATGACAGACACAACACTAAACTGTAGGCATAAGCTTGACAGTTTTACAACTATTGCTGGGTATTCAAGTTGTAATATACATGTTTATTTGTACATGGATCAAAGTAATATTATCCTAGATTTTCATTAGGAAGGATGCTTTTCAATATGTTACATGTATACTTTATGGTCAATTATCTGACAAATGTACAGGACATAATATGCCTGTTTATATGACAACTACTTAATACTGAAACTAGTAAGGATAGTCCCTTATTATAATATATAACTATATAATTTTTACCCTTCTCTAGAATTGTGGTTTACATGTGCATAACTTTTTTCTTTCAGTTACCGACATATACAACAGACAAAGTGGGACCATTCCTAGAGAAAGCATACAGATGTGGTTTTGATGACTGTGGCAAGTATTATACCACACTTCATCATTTAAAGGTAAGTTGGAATGTAATTGTTGTGAAAACTGTCCACTGATTTGCTATAAATAAACGCCTTTTGTTGCAATGTTTGGTCTTCTGCAACAATTACTTTTTTATGTCACCAGTATCAGGTCTGTTAGCACTTTCATTTGGTTGTTTGAGAATTTACTATTTTGATCACTGTTGCAAATTCAAATTGGGTGAATTTAGCTTGATATAGATTAAGAAATTGATATTCTTACAATTATTATACCCCAACAAATAAATTTTCAAAGTTTAAGAGGTGCATGCAGGAGTTGTTAGCTTGGTCAATCAGTCATTTTTTGGTTTCTAAATGATTACTCATCAACCAGGCAATGTAGTTTAATAGTTTTTGATAAACTTAAAAAAAAAAACTTAAAATACTGATCCAATTCAGCTTCAGACTAACATTTTTATGTCTCCCCCACCTCGGGGGGAGACATATTGTTTTTGCCCTGTCCGTCCGTCAGTCCGTCAGTCCGTCCGTCCATTCTTCGTTTCCGGACGATAACTAGAGTTCCTTTTGACCTACAGCTCTCAAACTTCATAGGATGAATGGTCTTATTGAGCAGATGATCCCTATTGTTTTTGGGGTCAGTAGTTCAAAGGTCAAGGTCACAGTGACCGTTGGTCAATTTCTCGTTTCCGGATGATAACTAGAGTTCCTTTTGACCTACAGCCCTCAAACTTCATAGGATGATTGGTCTTATAGAGCTGATGATCCCTATTGTTTTTGGGTCAGTAGGTCAAAGGTCAAGGTCACACTGACCGTTGGTCAATTTCTCGTTTCCGGATGATAACTAGAGTTCCTTTAGACCTACAGACCTCAAACTTCATAGGATGATTGGTCTTATTGAGCAGATGATCCCTATTGTTTTTGGGGTCAGTAGTTCAAAGGTCAAGGTCACAGTGACCGTTGGTCAATTTCTCGTTTCCGGATGATAACTAGAGTTCCTTTTGACCTACAGCCCTCAAACTTCATAGGATGATTGGTCTTATAGAGCAGATGATCCCTATTGTTTTTGGGGTCAGTAGGTCAAAGGTCAAGGTCACAGTGACCGTTGGTCAATTTCTCATTTCCGGATGATAACTAGAGTTCCTTTTGACCTACAACCCTCAAACTTCATAGGATGATTGGTCTTATTAATCAAATGATCCCTATTGTTTTAATGGTCAGTAGGTCAAAGGTCAAGGTCACAGCGACCGTTGGTTAATTTCTCCTTTCCGGATGATAACTAGAGTTCCTTTAGAAACCTGGATGAACCAGAATTCTACATTCAGAAATCCCCTCCAGACCTATAATGTAGAATTACAGTGTCGAGATTATAATAATAATCATCTGAATACATTGGACACTAATCAGTCAACTGTTAAAGGTGGTGTAGCCCTCTTCATTCATCAAGACTTTGCTTATGAACGAATACCCACGGATGCATGTGGAATCGAGTGTGTTGCTGTAAAACTTTTAGCTAAACAACTGTCTGTCTACTCTGTATATAAACCTCCGTCATTGCCGATTAACTTGTTCCTTCAAAAGCTTACCCTTGTCTTGGAAAATTCACCAACAGAAAACTGCATAGTTCTAGGAGACTTCAACATTGACCTCATTCAATATTTAGAACATCCATTGACCCACACTATGTTACGACATCGCTTTAAACAAATAATAAACAAGGCTACTACAGCACACAACACACTTATTGACCATATCTACCAGAGAGGCTTGATTGTGAAAACGAGTGGAGTCATCCCAACACATTACAGTTATCATGATTTGACATACATTGAAATTTGAGTTGTCTTTCAATAGTGTAAAAAATCTGACAATATGAACGTTTGTTTCAAGTATCATCAAAATCCTTCAAAGGGTTGAAGAGTTATGGAGCAGACACAATTTCCTTTAATTTCGTTTGTGAAACTATATATGATATGACATTCAAGTGTCAAGTAGACCTTGACCTTGGAACCAGCCATACGAAACATGTACTCTACACGTTCTCTGGATGTGGTGAATTTTTGTTTCAAGTATCTACCAGAGAGGCTTCATTGTGAAAACGAGTGGAGTCATCCCAACACACTACAGTTATCATGATCTTACATACATTGTAATTTGAGTTGTCTTTCAATAGTGTAAAAAAATCTGACAATATGAACGTTTGTTTCAAGTATCATCAAAATCCTTTAAAGGTTTGAAGAATTATGGAGCAGACACAATTTCATTTAATTTCATTTGTGAAACTATATATGATATGACCATCAAGTGCAATTTCGTTTGACGCCCGCCTGCCATACGCTGATTGAATAACCAGGATTTTCAAAATTGAATACCTGGTTAAAAACAAACAGTTTAGGAAGCATCTTCTCATACAACCTTAACAATAGAAACCATCCATAGACAGCCTTCATTGAAGTGACTACCGGGTATTTACATTATCTTATCTCCATTTCCATTCCTGTTTCCATTCACAGTTATTCTCAGCAGTGGGGGAGACATGCGCTTTTTTACAAAAGCATCCTCTAGTTTCTCATAGTTTTGGTGCAAGGCGGGGTAGTAATCAATCTTTTGTGATAGTGAAAGTACTGGCATCCTTTCTGATAGTTACAAAAAGTCAAAAGACAAAGAACCTCTGTTTTCTTGATTGTACTTGTAGAATATCAAGCTGAAATACAGAATTATGTAAAATAAATGCAGTATTGACAAAATGTTAAAATTATTTTTAATTTATTGTTGTAAATGGTCCCAATGTAGCCTGTGGAAAACATTTTCACTGTTAATGCAATTTGAACATATGAAGTGTTATGGACTTTGTAGATTTTTATGATCTTATACATTAATACATTAAACAATCATAAATCATATTTTAGGTACATGAACGCTCGCATACTGGTGACCGTCCTTTTAAGTGCGAGTATGAGAATTGTGGGAAAGCATTTGCTACAGGGTATGGCCTGAAGTCACACACGAGAGTTCATACTGGTGAGAAACCCTATAAATGTCATGAAGAAAGCTGTGATAAAGCATTTAAAACATCTGGTGATCTACAGAAACATATCAGAACTCATACAGGTTAGTTGATTACTATTGTGACGTCGTGTAGGTGAAGTATATCACACTTCTTTCATTACTTGCAAGCATAACTTTGTTTGGACTACTTTCTGTGCCCTCACTTAGGGGAAATATAGATTTAACTTTTACCGTCTCGCTGCCCTGCTGCTGTCAGACAGGCTGTGGGCGAGCATTTGCATCGGCTACCAATTAAAAGAATCATGTCAGCATACATACAGGATTTCCTGCTGTCTGTATAGACTGACAATACACAAAACAATAAAGTGCTGGAGGCATCCATGTCCTGCAGACACACTTCTAGTTATGAATTTAGTTTTATTTGAACTGTTTCTTTAAATAAGATTGTATTATTTGATAGTGGATTTGGGAAAAACAGTATTTTGATTGTTTGGTATATTACCTGCTTTACATCACAACAGGTAAGTAGTTCCACAAAAAGTATAAATTAACAGATATATACGTAATTAAGAAAAACACTTTGTGTTTTAGATAAGTCAGGTAAGGCTGGCATACTGAACCTAAACATATATATACATGTGTAGATGTAATTCCTTGTTTCAAACATTAATAGTATTTCATTTTTAGGAGAGCGGCCATTTAAGTGTCCTTTTGAAGGTTGTACAAGATCGTTTACCACGTCTAATATACGGAAAGTTCACATTCGTACACACACTGGGGAACGACCTTATATATGTCCTGACGAAGGCTGTGGACGAGCATTTGCCTCGGCTACCAATTATAAAAACCATGTCCGCATACATACAGGTAATTTATTTCTTTGTTACTATATGATTGCTTTTATAAATTATGTCTTGTTACCTCCTTTTGATAATTTATTGACTTGCAAACCTGTACTATTTCATTCTTAGTTCCACTTTTTCTGAGGAAATAAGTAATTTTCTAAGAAAAAAAGTGGAACTGTTTTCATGACCCTCTGATTGGTATTGGCACTAGTGTGTGCGGTGGTCAACTTTTTTCTCAAAAACTTTCAAGGTTATTTGCTCATTACTAAAATATTATGCAATAGGGTAGATAATTCTAAAATATTTTTGCAAATTTATGGACTTTAACTTGCTTTTTTCTTCCCGATTATTTTTTTTTTTGTTTAAAGAACTTCTGAAGCTATCAAAGGTATTCACTTCAAACTTAGAATATTCATACACCATCAAACTTGGAATGCATGATAGAAGGACAGATAATCCTAAAATACATGTTGTTCAGTTATGCCCCTTTTCAACTACAAGTTTCTTGGTTAGACTATTTGTAACAGTTTATTGCTCAAAAAATATCTAAGGCGTTCTCATTTCACTTAGAATACTTATTCAAAATTGCATTTTATTTCTAAAGGACAGGTAAGTCTAAAAGGTGTTTTCACTCAATTATTTCATGTATTACTAAGAATGTTTTTTTGCCTTAAAAAAAAATCACAGATTTTCACTGAAAACTTGTTCACTATAAAAGGTTGGTAATGTTGCCTTCACTGTATGCCCATGTCCTTCAGACTACCCTGTTTTACAATTTTAGTATTAAATTCTCACCCTCTTCCGTTTATAGTTACTCATATGTATGATGAGTAGATCAATCGTATCCCTAAACCTGCTAAGTTATGCAATGGATTTTCCCTACATTAAATAAGGAATAATCCTGCATTAAATATGGAACAGTCTAATTGAAGTTTCAGGGATTACAATGTAAAAAAGCAAAATGAGAGCTTACCAAAAATATGGAGTCTGGTCAGACTGTACTGTTAGTTATTGCATTGAATGTTCTCTATATTTCAGGTGAGAAGCCATATGTATGCACAGTGATGGGCTGTGGGAAACGATTTACCGAATACTCTAGTCTATATAAACATCATGTAGTACATACTCACACTAAACCATACACGTGCTCCAGATGTGGTAAGACGTACAGACAAACATCCACACTTGCCATGCATAAGAGAACAACACATGGCGAAGATGTCACTCCAGAAAGTGAAGCATTACTGTACCAGGAACAGACACAAGGTTTCTTGTCTTGCCTTTTGTTTTTCTTCCCATAACAGTCTTTATGTTGAGCTTGTAAGTACCAGTTTGAACTTCTTTCAGTCCTTCCATGTTTCCATGTTCTTACTGTTCCTAATGCTCATTGAGTAGCTCACTGGCACTGAATGTTCGGGTAAATCAATTAGTATGGTAGGGTGGATGATACAGCATCTGTTGTGTCATTTATTTATTGATTTACACCTTTGATATTTCTGTGTTGGAACTTTTTATTAACCTCTGCCTTCAGTGGGGTTTCAAGTTCAATTGAGTCAATATCTCTGATTCTAAAAATAGAATATATTTTTACTTTTATGCCCCTGAAGGGCGGCATAATAAAATTCCACCGTCCGTCTGTCTGTGCGTCCCCACATCATTTGTGTCCGAATTGTAACTTTGTCATACATTGAGAGATTTTTGAATAGCTTGGCACAAATGTCTACAACATCAAGATGATGTGTTGTATCCATTTTCACATGTGTAACATTGGTGGAAAACCTGGTTTTGTCACCATTACCTTTCACTTGGAATTTTTATGTTAAAAATAAAATTTGTTAAAATTAATGCTGGTAAATGCTTCTGTCACACGTTGTTTGTTTATTGCTATCATAGTTATAACATAATATCTGTTCAACTACATTACTTTACATTCTGTTTAAAGTTGCAGCCAATGAGAGTCTGGAACCACCTGGCAAACGTATTAGACTGGGCCTCGTGAACCAAGATGAGGTGTCAGAGGAGGGAGATGGTGCTCTCATCATTAATTCATCAGATGTTACCCAACAGGTTCGTACTTTATACTAGCATATTTGTTTACTTTAAATAGGCTTGCCTCCCATTTGAATGTATGAACAGTCCAAAGTGAACAGGCTATTTCTTTCAGTGCCTGAAATAGCAGATGGACTCTCTTTAAGCCTAACTGTAATAATAGTTTTGTCCAAGTTAGATTTTGAGAGATGACAATATGAAAAATTCGAAAATAAAACAGCTACAATTAAGCAAGTTATTGTGGATCGGGCTTAAAGAGTTAATACACCTTAAAGGGTATCAAGCTATATCTTGCGAAATATTCTCATAAAATCTATAAACATTAAAGTTATGTTGTTTGCATAATTGCATGGCTGATTCTTGAAACTGTTGTAACATAGAAGGCCTCTCCTATTTAACATACATGTGTATTGCACACAATAAAATGTTCCAGAAAAAAATACTATTCTGCTATTTTTGGTAGCATTTTTACCATTAACTGAAGATTCTTTAGGAAAGAAAATAGCATAATTATATATAATATATAGGTGTTTTGGAAGTATTCTTTTCCAAAATTCAAACAATAATTTTTTAGCAGATATATAGCTTTATACACTTTAACTAGTCAACATTTCAAGTTGTCAATATTTCACTGAATAGTTGTTATCTGAAGTTCAGTCCTTGAGTAAAGCTGGAAAGTTTTCATATGACCTTAACTATTGTTGTTACTAAAAACTGCATTGAAAAATGTTGACAATGTTTTATGATCATTTTGCCTTGTCATATAATTCAATTTGTTATCTTTATTATAGTTAGCATTTGTTGGAACAGACGGTATGAATACTGGAGTAGATATTTTACAGTCACCTTTCAACAACCACCAGTCAACCTTGTTACAACAGGCTGGAGTAGCTTTTACACTGAGTGATCAGGGTCAACAAGTGTTTGTTATAACAGATCCAGCTCAGCTAGAAGCTTTACAAGTAAGTATAACTTGCCAGTTTCTTTACAGTATTTCAAGACAGGGTGAGTTCTTATAGTTTGTTATACTGGTGCTACATGTGGAGCAGGCTGTACTGGAATCACTTCGTCAAATGTCAGTCAATCACTTAGTTATTGGTCAATTAGTTTCAACTGTTTCTGCTCTATAAGTCTTATGATATGGAAGGATTATCTTTAACTTGGCTGAAATGTTCACATCAGGAAGGTGATGTGCAGAAGCCAACTGTTGCTATGCCTGCTTGATATCAAGGTCACCTTTGAAGGTCAAATGTCAAGACAATTTTGTACTTGCATTTATAAATCTTATACCTCTTGAAGGGTTTGCTTCAAACTTGGTCTCAATAGGGATAGCATGGGGTTAGTAGTCAAGAGATAGCTGGTTGAAGCCTTGAGCAATGTGTTATTTCTCAGAGAAAATTAATCTTGAGTCTAAAGGTGATTTTGTCTCTCACTGATGATTGATGTGGGATGAGTTATTCCGTCATTTGCAAATAAATTGGTAATAACTGGTTAGTTATCCAGGAAGGCTTGTTTGAATGAATTGCTGAGAAATTACCAATAAATTATTGGCTCAAATGCTCACCTCAACAAGGCAAATTGCAGAACCATTACTGTTGCTATGCCAGTTCATGGTCAATGTTACCATTGAAGGTGAAATGTCAAAAAACTTCAAGTTCACTACATAAATCATATACCTGTTGAAGGATTTTCTACAAGCTTTGGTCAGATGTTCATTTTGGAAAATAATGAAGAAATGGTCTTTCATATTAATACAATTTATTAACCAGGTTTTCAACGAAAACCGGGTTATTGTAATGCCGAAGTCGGCGGGCGGGCGTCAACTTTTGGTTTCCGCTCAATAACTTTAGTTTGCTTTGGCCTATCGACACCAAACTTGGTGTGTAGGTAGCTTATATCAAGAGGCAGCTGTGATCAAGGTCAAGGTCACTGTTTCTAAAAATAGAAATTCAGTTTCCGCTCAATAACTTGTTTGCTTTGACCTATTGACACCAAACTTGGTGTATGGATAGCTTATATCAAGAGGCAGCTTGGGATTGCTCCCCAGGTGTCTGTGATTAAGGTCAAGGTCACTGTTACTAAAAATAGAAATTCAGTTTCCGCTTAATAACTTGAGTTTGCTTTGACCTATTGACACCAAACTTGGTGTATGGATAGCTTATTTCAAGAGGCAGCTTGGGATTGCTACCCTGGTGTCTGTGATCAAGGTCAAGGTCACTGTTACTAAAAATAGAAATTCAGTTTCCGCTCAATAACTTGAGTTTGCTTTGGCCTATTGACACCAAACTTGGTGTATTGATAGCTTATATCAAGAGGCAGCTTGGGATTGCTACCCAGGTGTCTGTGATCAAGGTCAAGGTCACTGTTACTAAAAATAGAAATTCAGTTTCTGTTAAATAACCTTGAGTTTGCTTTGGCCTATTGACACCAAACATGGTGTATAGATAGCTTATATCAAGAGGCAGCTTGGGATTGCTATCCAGGTGTCTGTGATCAAGTTCAAGGTCACTGTTACTAAAAATAGAAATTCAGTTTCTGCTCAATAACTTGAGTTTGCTTTGGCCTATTGACACCTAACTTGGTGTATGGATAGCTTATATCAAGAGGCAGCTTGGGATTGCTACCCAGGTGTCTGTTATCAAGGTCAAGGTCACTGTTACTAAAAATAGAAATTCAGTTTCTGCTCAATAACTTGAGTTTGTTTTGGCCTATTGACACCAAACTTGATGAATGGGTAGCTTATATCAAGAGGCAGCTTGGGATTGCTAACCAGGTGTCTGTGATCAAGGTTAATGTATTTAGTTTTCATATTATAACTTGAGTTTGCTTTGACCTTTTGACACCAAACTTGCTGAGTTGCAGCTTTTGATTGCCACTAAGATATCTGGGAGCAAGTTCAAGGTCATTTGCTTACGATAGAATTTTTAGCTTCTACTTAATAACTTCAGTGCTTTTTGACCTATTGATTGCTGTCACATCAAAACTTGGTCGTTGAAAACCTGGTTTTCGTCGCATTGCGGTACTTCTTGTATTAATTTAAAAAGAGATAAAAAGAGGACCGCCAAACTACTTCAGATAATGATGGGTATTTGAATAAAGTGTTGTTGAATAACCAGGGTTGGTCTCTATGCTGAGCTGTTGTATCTTTATTCATATTATTCTGTGTCCTTATTTATTATATATACATGTTTTATAAAGCAAAGGCACCCATGTCTTTCAGAAGTATTCCTAGTTTTTAAGAATGATGTTTGCTTTTTGATAGCTTTTAGTGATTTTCTCTTGTATTAGAGGTGAGATCAGTGTTTTGCAATTTTCTATAGCTTATTATTCTAGCAGGGAATGAATGTATTATACTTGTTGTTTCTTTTTCAGCAAATTGCCAAACACCAATTGGAGAGTGATACTGACCCACAGTCTCTGTTGACAACAACCTTGAACTCTGATGACCTCAATTCTGTACAAACTACTGACAATATTGTTACTATGGTAACGGAAATAACAACAGAATCTGATGTGAAGCATATTCCATCTGTATCTATAGCAACTGCAGATGTTACACATATTGACAATGTATAGTGTTATGTTTGTAAAATGAGTTTATTATTTATCCTTCAAAAGGAAATGGTTTAAAGTTCAGTGAGGAAGTGAATAGTTTCATATTTATAATTCATAGGGAGTGAACAGTTTCAGGTTGAGTATGTCAATGGCAATCAAAAGGAACAGAGTAGAGAAAGCGTCAGAAAAGGGAGGGAAATGGTTTAATGTTAAATTTGTGTTTCAAAGGAAGTGATTAGAAATAAAATAAGCTTGCTACAAATTTAATAATTTAGAAACAAAAAAGAAACCAAATTGTCAGTAATTATCATTAAGGTGGAATAAAGCAGGATGTTATGATAGCCCCACAGGTCCATGTTACAAAGTGCTCTTTTTGTAACTGTTTGGTACAGTATTATTAACGACACTTTATTATAGCATAGCAATTTTTTTTCATGTTAACTTTATACAATTTGGACCAGGTTGTAATGACACCTGTGATAACTGATCGACTACTATTTGTTAGTACATCTTCTAAATCAAAAAGTATTATATATGTATTTTTCTGTGTAATAATTCCCCCACGAAGTTTAATGGAGTTGAGGTTTTGTCGGTCCAATTGTCATCTGGGTCAAATTTATGAATTCTGGACAATATATAGTGCCAGGAATGTGATATTGTAATCAAACTCCATATGAAGAGACCTCATTTGAGATTGCTTTTGAACACTCTATGGTCAAGGTCACTGTAACTAAAAATAGAATAATTGTTTCTGGTCAATCACAACACTGAGGAATGAGATATTGTTATCAAACATGGTATATAGCAAGCTTGTGTGGAGATAAGGCATGGGATTGCCTTTGGGCTTTGAAGGGCAAGGTCACCACTGCGATTAAAAAGAGAAAAAAGGTTTCTGGATGATAGTGAGATAATGTAATCAAACTTAGTATTAAGGAACCTTTTGTAGAGCACTTACTTGAGATTGCTTTTGTACCTAGGATCAAGGTCAATGATACTAAAAATAAAAATGGTTTCTAGTTGATAACTAGAATTAAGAACAAGGTGAAGCAAGATTACTAAAATTTAGTACAAGCCTCTTTTTTATATTCCTCTGTAACCCAATGGTCTTTAATGAAACTATAGATTGTATTTATTTTTCTAACTAAATCTTGCATGATATTGAATAATGGTTTTTCATACATTGTATAGTTAATTTGGCAGATGGGGTTATGAATCACCTCTAGTTTTAATTTTTGCTCAAGCTATAGACTGGAGTAATACTGACAAGGACAAGTGACAAGCCATGTTTTCAAATGGAAGATAATTCTCAAAAGATCTGGTTTTGGGAAACAAGATTAACAGTATGGTATCTCTTCTGTGGCTATAGGGGTAAAAAACCTGTACCATACCCCTACATGGATGTTCAAAGTCTTGCTAACTTTGGTACCTTTGACGATATGTTAGTTATTTGATATTCAAATCCCTTTCACATATAAATTAACTGTTCCAAACCATGGCCATAAGTGAGGCAAGGATTAGCATAAAGTGTATTTTAATGTAATAATGAATAACTTATCACAGTCTTTCTGTTTGCTTTGAAATATTAATCTTACATATTTGTTATCAATGCAAAAAGATTTATTAAAGTCGATTTATTTATTATCTATGTGTTTTCACTTTTCATCATCCCTACCATTTGAATTAGGTTCAAAACCTTACTAGGCAAATCTGAATTCTTTGTTGGGAAGCATGCTTTTGTATGATAGATAATTCTGCCAGTTTGCCTTCTTATGAAAGAAAAAACAACGCTTTTTAGTCATAGCTGGGCATGTAAAGGTTAATTAATTGCAGGCACCCCCTTGTGCTCACAGGTGAGCTTCTGCGATAGCACGATGTTGGTCATGCATTGTCTGTCATCATCCAAAGTTTCTTTGAACAACATCTATTTACCACTTGGACTTTCACCAAATTTTACAGGAATGATCTTTAGGTTGACGCTCTACAGAATTTATCTGATTTAATATTGAGTATGAAATGTAACTCTTAATGCTCCAGTACTTGTAAGTTCAACGAACAGATTCCAGGGTGTGTCAATAAGCCTATAGCTTTCTTATACAATCAGTTTAAAGTTCTATATACACTAAAGTACATACATACCATCCTTATAACAATTATTTATAGCTATTTTTTTACCTCTTTTATATGGAGTAGTGGCGACATTTTGGGATCACTTCTCTGTCGTTTGTCTGGCGGTCCGTCACAAAACTTGTCAGGACTACTCTTCATAAACCAATGGTGCAATTTTATCCAACCTTTACAGAAATGATCAGTACCAAGTCTAGTTGTGCATATCGTCAGCTTTTCTGGGTTCAATGATTTTTGACAGAGTTATGAGCCTTTAATAATTTTCATTTCTAAAGTTTATTCAGACTACTCCTCTTATACCACTAATGCAATTTCATTGACACTTTACTGGATTGATCTGTAGCTCAAGTCCTTGCGCATATTGAATGATTTTTGGCCAGAGTTATGGCCCTTTAATAAGAAAGGTGTTTTTCTGTGTTGCCAGATACACAAAAGCTTGTCTGGACTACATCTCAAAAACTACTGGTGCAATTTCATCCAAACTTTACAGAAATGATCACTTCCATGTCTAGTTGTACATATCGGCTTTTTATGGTTCAATGAAATTTTTTTGACTTATGGCCCTTTAATTATTATTTGTAAGTTTGTCCGGACTACTCCTCTTATACCACTAATGCAATTTCAATGAAAATTTACAGGATTGATTTGCAGGTCAAGTACTTGCCCATAAAACACAGGTTGTCCGCTGGAATGATATAGGCCAAGTTATGGCCCTTGAATGAAAAGGGTGTTAATAAAGTTTGTCCGGACTACTCCTCTTATGCAATTTCAATGAAACTTTACAGGATTGATTGGTAGGTCAAGTACTTGTGCATAATACACAAGTTTTTCACTTGAATGAACTTAAGCTGAGTTATTGCCCTTGTATAAAAATGTGTTTTGCCCTGTTAATGATTTTTGGGTCTCCTGCTACACAGTAGCTGCAACATGCGATTAGTTATCTTGAGGCAACACTGTTATCACTGATGGCCCTTGTTATTGCAATTTAAAACTAAAGAACCTTGACTTGTCAATTTTGACCATATACTCGTCCTTTATTCCAACATTTTTGTACACAGATAGTAAGGAAATATCCAAGATACACCTTGCATTTTCAAAGCAGAATTTTAGTGTCTTTCTTTATAAACTCATAAAGATGAATTATTTCTTGCATGTTTATGAACCTGATATTTGTCCTGGAATCAAGCAATGTCTGTATCCATTGCACTACCCTCCAAAAATGTTAATTTTTTGGGAAGTCTTTAGGCGCGAGTCCATTATATGTGTATAGGTTTGAAGTCACATTAACAATAAACATTTATCACCTAATACATTAAAATTACTTGCCAATCAGCTAAGCTCTTAGCCTCTCTAGAGATTTTATTTTTCACTTTCTGTCACTATGGCAACCAAAGTTCTGCATGTAATGGAATTACTTGAACAATAATAAAACAACTAATCCTTGCAAAGTTTGTCTATCATTGACCCAGTTGTTTGAGAGATGTCAAGGATAAACTTTAATGGACATGTGGGTGATCCTAACAGCTCATCTGGACACTTTTTGATATACAACAAAACACATATGCACACATTTTCCTTTTATTCCTTTTTAATAACATAACAGGTAAATAAGATTGATATAAAAATTTCACAATTACATTGTTGCTAGCAAACAACAAGTGTCATTTATGGCATGAATTTTCATATTAGATATTTAACAACCATTGTCTTAATTGAACTTAAATGTCATCGTCAAGTAAAAAATGTTTTCAGCGTAAAACTCGGAATTTCTGTAACATTATGTATGTTGAATAGAAACTAGAGTTATTTACATTGGATAAATTAAATGGAGACAGTGTGTCTATGTGTAACACTGTGTAAATTATAAGGAGGCTGTGTTTGTAACATTGTAGGACATGCTGAATCAAATCAAATAAATAAAGACTGAATGTGCTTGTTACACCATAATGGTGGCTTTGTTTGTAACATTATTTGCCTTTTAACATATTAAATAGAGGCTATGACCAGAATATCTAGCTCTCAGGGTTACAGCAGTAATGAGGCACTGGGGGAGGGGGGGGGGATAATCCTGTCTAATATGCAAGAAGTTACATTATATAACATGTGGAATGAGAGCTATGTCTGTTTCATTATATCAAATATTAAATGGAGGCTGTGTCTAGCATATGTTAATTGGAGGTTGTCTATATTAAAATGTATCTATGAAGGAATTATTTACAATCAAAAGATTTTATTGTATATCTGGAGGTTCATCATCAGAATCAAATTCAGCATTTTCATCCTTAATCCAAGTTCCTGTCCAATCTTTTTTCCAGCCAGACCTACAAAAGGTTCAAATTGAAGTTTTAAAAGTAAATAAGCATAACTTAAAATCAAACCTTATCTATCAATACTTTTCAGAATTTTTTTATTTGTATCAAAATTTAAATGTTTCTATCAATACCTAGTCATAAATATATTTTCATATTTTCTGTCTTGACAATACTTATAGGTTATTATACATATTACTGTACAATAAGGGAATATATTTGGACGAGTACACAGCTTGCAGTCATATTGGACGAGTCGCTAGATGAGTCCAATATGACTTTTCAAGCTGTGTACGAGTCCAAATATATTCTGTATTGTACAGTAAAATGTATAATAACCTTTTTATAATATATCTTTCGTTTAATTTGAAATATCATCATTATCATCATCACCACCAATATCGAAAACCAGACCAGCATTGTTTAGTACACAAGTACCTAACCTTCTAATATGAAAACAACATCCAATACAGGAATATATTGGACGGTCATGAGGTACAAATGCAGATTGTCGATTGGATTTATAATAAAAATACATAAAAAATGCTCTATCAATACATCAACATAAATCATTTTCTATTTGATGTATCAATCTTTAGACATAAAGTATTTTCTGTCTGATGTATCAATTTTTAGACATAAAACACTTTTTGCCTGTTCTGTCTATACACAGACATAAAATATTTTCTTTATTAATACTTAAGACATAAAATATTTTCTGTCTGATGTAAGAATATTAAGACATAAAATATTTTCTGATCTATCAATACTTAGACACAAACAATTTCTCTATCAATATTTAGACATAAAAATCACACCCTTATCAATGGTTGGACATAAAACATTCTTATTTATAAAAACTTATATCGCATAATTATTATAGACTTTACCCAAGAGCATGTAGGTACTTCTCAGCATGTTCCTTTCCTAAGCTTGTACCACTTGCTGTTTGAACTGTTTTTATTTCAGTATTGCCCCCATTCTGTATTTTTTGAAGTTCCTCAGTACCCTCAGATGATTTATTCACTGGTTCCTCTTTGGACTTCATCTTAAAAGGCACTTTTCCTTTAAAATCTTTATAGAACTCCCATGTTTGAGCAGGTGATACTAATGTCTGGCTTGAAGAGTTGTCGTCTATTTTTTTAATCAGACTTCTTGTCTCTTCTTTGTCTTTCTTTCTAGAGAGATAATATTTATTATTCTGCTCAGCATTTGAATTTCTGACAAATTTACCAACGTTCATAGCATTGACAATAGTGTTTTTCTCCCCATGTTTTACTGATGACTGCTGTTTATGTTGAAATGAAGACCTAAACTTCCTGTCAGCTGCAATATCCGGAGATCCTGAATACCTAGAATTATTTGTAGTACTGGAAGAGGCACTTGTACACACTTGAACAGTTTCTGGGCAATATTTATGTTGTTTTGATGAAAAAGTGTTATTAAACCTGTTTCCAGGTAACTGATTTGCACATGTTGCTACTGTTGGAATAGGTGCTATTGTTGTAGTTGTATTCGACTTGTTCATATTTGATATGTTTAGATCCAGGACAGCCTTTCTTTCATATAGTTTCCTAGGTTTCTTTATTCCAAGAATAGGATTTTTATATTCCTGATGAATTTCAGTTTCTTCAACTACCTGTATATAACAAAAATGCATTTAAGGAAAATAAAGAATTTTTTTAACACATATCTTTATGATAATAAATTATTATACCAGTGGTAGTCCATGCTTTTTCCATGTATTGGGGTCTTGTGTTGGAACTGACTGGTTTATTTCAATAACTTTTACTTACATGTTTATAAATTAGAACTGTTTTTGTTAAAAATGCCTTACATGAAGCTGTTTTCAAAAATTGCAATGTTTTTTTCTCTGTAAAAATTTTTTTGCCTGATAACTTACAATGTTATATAAAGGTAATATTTTCTTAATAATAGTTTCTTAACTGATACACTGCTGAAACCTTGTATCCGTAAGTAGTTAGTCTTTGCCACCAGTATAGAGTTTTTCCAACCTACACAACTATGCAGTATGACAAGGCTCTAACCTGCTGACATAGTGACTATAAATTTTCATCTTTATATCCCGCAAGTTGATAATAGACAGTTCTAAATGGAAGTAGGGCTAGTCCAGGTAAAAAATTAAGCATGTTTACAGTTAACCAAGACAAGCACTTTGTATGACTTCCTGTTACTTTTTTTTACCTTATAAGGAACTGGTCCGGGGTTTACCCAATTGAAAAATATTTTGAGTAATGAAAAAAAGGTTTTAATTGAAAAACATAAGTCCTAAGAAAATGTAAACCTTGAATTACAATTATCAACATTTTTGGGAAATTAGATTATTTTTTAGCTATTTGTGTTTCTTTATTGAACCCTATAAAATTCTTATACATCAGTCACATTTTATTTCAAATTCCTCTTTAACAGTCCACTTTTAAGTTGAATACTAGTAAATTATATGGATTTATATTTACTTGTTTTGTGACTGCGTTCCCATCTCTCACCATTTGTTCATGTTTTCTTTTCTCAATCAAATCATCTAGCTCTTGTTTTTGCTGTGCTGCATATTCTATACCTGTATATATTGTTGAAACAAAGTTTAGTTAGACTAGAATTAATAGAACTCACAAATACACCTACTTTTTTATACCTTTCCCCACAATGCCAAACCAATCATCACCCTTCATTTAGCACATCGTTTTTAGCATACATGTACATTTTGTATTTGAATTTAACGTTTTCCTTGATCAATGTTATGCACATATTTTAGCTGTCTTCTCAAAAACAAGATATTCTTCAACTTCACTTGACATAGCTTGTCATAAGAGCTGCTAGATACTGTCATACCAATGGTCTGGATTATTCAACAGCCTTAAAATTCCGGGATTTTTTACAAAGGGAAATAATTTAAAACAAATCAATTTTTGATATACAGTAATTGACTAGTGACCAACTAATATAGTTCCGAAGCCATGATTGTGTGAAGTTTCAAGTGAATATCTTCAGTGGTTGATTTTTTGGGGATTGGGTTTTTACATATCACTAACACATGAACGGATCCAAAGTCCCAAGTGGGATTTAAACCAACAGTTGTGAGATGCAAGTGGTTTGAAGTTTGACTTTAACCACTCGGCCGTAATGATGCCCCTATTCAGTGGTTGAAGAGATACCAAGTTGCACATAAAACTTTAAACAGTGTTTTGTCAACAAAGCTGATGTAGGATGACCCCACTTTCTTAGAATAGTTGTTAATTGAAGTAACTACTTACTGTACAAGTGTTTCTTGCCTTGTTTATGTACATAAAACATGTTGAGAGTGTCAAATATAGGCTGACTGGAACACATCTTGCACTTATACCTGATAAAGAAATATGGGATTATGAAAACTTCAAAATATAGAAACTAGAAGTTTACTTGTGAATCATATTTTTTAAATTTTGAATGATGTATTTGACAAAATAAACAGCTATAACTCTAGAACTGGATTTATAACAGGTTATATGGTCCAATATAAAAGATTGGAGCTTCTATGCAATGTTTATATAGCAAACAATCATTTAACTAGAACTCCGCGAGTCGGATGTGTCGCCTTGTGAACAATGTAGTTTAGGGGAAATGGCCAGGACAAAAATGAAATATGAAAAATAACAAAGGGCAATAACTAAAAAAATAATAAGTGCAGAGCAGAAGTTTCTTTACACTGCACTTCTTATCAATAAGATCTATCATTCTATGATGTTTCAAGTCCATAGCTTTCATACTTGAGGAGAAATGACCAGGACAAAAATAAAGTAAGACTAGAACTGTGTCCAAAGGACACGGATTCCCCCACTGACAACATTTATATGGTATATAGTGAAAAAATCAACAAAGGGCCATAATTCTGTTAAATTTGGTCGCAGCAAAAATTCCTTCCTTTACTACCATCTACACATTAAGGTTGTTCATCCCTGGAAGTTTAAGCAAAATCTGCCATCCGGTTTAAGAGGAGTTGCGTTAACAACATTTCTATATAGTACATGTATATAGTGAAAAAATCAACAAAGGGCCATAATTCTATTAAATTTGAGCGCAGCAAAAATTCCTTCTTTTACTACCATCTACACATTAAGGTTGTTCATCCCTGGAAGTTTAAGCAAAATCTGCCATCCGGTTTAAGAGGAGTTGCGTTCACAAAATTTCTATATAGTATATAGTGAAAAAATCAACAAAGGGCCATAATTCTGTTAAATTTGGTCACAGCAAAAATTCCTTCCTTCACTACCATCTACACATTAAGGTTGTTCATCCCTGGAAGTTTAAGCAAAATCTGCCATCCGGTTTAAGAGGAGTTGCGTTCACAAAATTTCTATATGGTATATAGTGAAAAAATCAACAAAGGGCCATAATTCTGTTAAATTTGGTCGCAGCAAAAATTCCTTCCTTTACTGCCATCTACACATTAAGGTTGTTCATCCCTGGAAGTTTAAGCAAAATCTGCCATCCGGTTTAAGAGGAGTTGCGTTCACAAGATTTCGGGACGTACGGACAGACGGACGGACGTACATACGGACGGACGGACAGACGGACGGACAAGTGCAACACTATATGCTCCCACTCTGTGGGGGCATAAAAATCAACAAAGGGCAATAACTCAAAAATAAGAAATGCAGAGTATCAGTTCTTATGCACTGCACTTCTTTTTAATGAGATCTATCATCCTATGAAGTTTCAAGTCCATAACTTTTATACTTTCAGAGAAATGGCCTGGAAAAAAATTAAGTATGAAAATTAACAAAGGGCCATAACTCAAAAATTAAGAAATGCAGAGTACCGATTCTTGTGCACTGCACTTCTTAATAATGAGATCTATCATCCTATGAAGTTTCAAGTCCATAGCTTTTATACTTAAGGAGAAATGGCCCGGACAAAATTAAAGTATGAAAATAAACAAAGGGCAATTACTCAAAAAATAAGAAATGCAGAGTACCCATTCTTGTGCACTGCACTTCTTAATAATGAGATCTATCATCCTATGAAGTTTCAAGTCCATGGCTTTTATACATTAGGAGAAATGGCCCGGACAAAAATAAAGTATGAAAATTAACAAAGGGCAATAACTCAAAAATTAGGAAGTGCAGAGTACTGGTTCTTGTGCACTGCACTTCTTAATAATGAGATCTATCATCCTATGAAGTTTCAAGTCCATAGCTTTTTTAGTTGAAGAGAAATGGCCCGGACAAAATTAAAGTATGAAAATTAACAAAGGGCAATAACTCAAAAAATAAGAACTGCAGAGTACCGGTCCTTGTGCACTGCACTTTGGGTTATTGAAAGAAGCATGCATACCAAGTTTGAAGTCATTCAGACTTATAGTGACTGAGTTATGCTCCGGACAAGCTTTAGGGGATGCCGACAACGACGCCGACACGGACGCCACCGACACCGCCGACAAAAGTAACCCCTATATGTCACCTTTTCAAGGCGACACAAAAATGACCATATAACAAACTGCAAGTCTTTAATATGCAGCAGCTGTGTTTATGACAATAATAATTGTCCAATGAGAATCACCTTTACAGAATGCTAAGTAATATTATATATTAGTGTATATTGCATGTAACATAATGTATGAAATCTAATATATATGGTAAACTTGTGTTTGTAACAGAAAAATTAATTATGCATTTAATAAGTACAACAAAATATGACCCCCCCCCCCCCCCCCCCCCCCCCAAAAAAAAAAAAAAAAAAATCCCTTGAATAATATTGACAACTGGGCTGGTTCAATTCCATTTCTGGATGTTCTGACTGGTTATGAACTTGAGTTTTAAAGACTATAATATTTTACGTACTTTCCATTGCTCAGTCTAGTCACTTCCTCTTCCTGTATGTCCTCAAACAATAAATCTGCCACTCGCCTCTTCTACAATGTAAATCTATAAACATGTATATGCCTCATTATCAAGCTAAAATAAGTATGTCTTAATCCTTAAAGGCACATTAATACATTTTAACTTCTATTGAAAGGGCAAACATTCTAATTTTTTCTGTAATTATCTATTTACAGCATGTTACTTAGATGCTAAATATTACCTGATGAATGAAACGCTGAATGTGCAATTTGCCAAAAGTGGTATTTTGTCTTCCATTGAAAATACTACATCACTATAATTTTTTTAGTGACAAAAGAGCAACAAGCAGCAAAAGATTGTTCATCTAATTGACCGAAGCAGAAAGCTGAGTTACATTCAATGTTTGGAGCTGACTGGGAGGTCACTATAATGCTTAGTACATGTCGTCTGAGGTACTTTGTGCAGTTCATTATACTATACCTTCTTTATTTATATCAATGTCAGCAGGCCTTTAAATAATAAAATATTCGCAATGATGTCAGTGATCTGACAATAAAGTAAAGTGACTACTTGAGCTGGCAGTATTTTCTTTTTGTCAGATCTCCAACCTTAAGATACATGTAGCCTCTGCTTTGTGCTTTGCATTTTTAAATTGAATTGAAATTCAAAATTTTATAAAATGTGTGGTTAAAGGGAAACAAACAGAGCCCTCACAGACAAAAACCCTCCTGTCCAAAAATGACAGGGCGGACAAAAGCCCTCTTGCAGCAAATACATATATGTATGTTGAATAATATGTATCTCTGAATTAATTTTTCAACTATGAAAAAAAATCATAACAATCTTACCCTTTGATTGTCTAAGGCACCCTTATCATTTCCATCTCTCTTGAATGACATCTTCCCTCTAACAGTATGGAAACTTAACTAAATATTTGATATGTTTATCCACTGTCAAACATTCTGAAAGTAAAAGCTGAAAATTATACAGGACGGATTTCAATACTTCTTTTACAATAATATGCAATGCACTACTTACATTCAGGGCTTAACTGTAACAAAATATATTTGTGTATACACATCTAAATGATTTAGGTTAACAGAAAATTAATTTGATTCTAAAAACCACCACATATCACTATGAAAATTAGCAGGCAAGACCTTTGACTTCGGCAAAAAATAATCTGATAATTATATTATGGATTGAGACATTGTGCTATTTATGTGTATGGGTCCATTTTGACCCGGAACAAAAATATCTCAGAATCTAGCTTTGGCACGTGAAAATATACTGACAATTTTGGGTTGGGCAATCGTCTTGCACAGTTTAACTGTTGAAGGCTGTACGCTTATCGGCTTAAGTGGTTCAGATTGGATTTTGAAGTTTTGTTGCTGGAATCCTAGTGTTTGGATTTCTTTTTAATGATATTGTCAATCCGAGAGTACAAGTGCTTGATTTTCTGACCAAGGAATTACGCATACTCTGCCTGTGGTAAGAATAGGTAAGGATGCCACTGATGGTAGCATGGAGCTAAATATAAGATATATCTGTGATGGTTTTGGTATTTAATTTTCTTGTTTTGTAATCTTAATCACCTGCAAATTATGTTCAATTCACACAAACAAATATTTGAACAGTTCAAGTAACAACAAAGTAATGAATACCTTATTCTATGTGTATAAATATAAATAGTAAAATGTATAAAATTTGAGTTAACGAACTTACAGTATCTACCTATTCTCACGACGTACAGATACCACAGCTACACCGGACACGGAGGCGAACAATAAAATTGGTAAAAAAATATTGGTAAAATGTGCTTTTCTACAAAGTGCTCGTAATATTTCAAATATAACTATCTGTAAGAACAATGATGAGTGGTTTAACAATAGTTTTATTCTGTGGATGTGTTGTTCTATTCTCTTATCATTCCTATTTTTATGTTTTTATTTTTACCTTCGGTTTCGTACCCGCACTATCTCGTACGATAATTTATAAATTTGTTTTATTTGATGATTATTTCAATATTTAACAAAGAAAATGGTTAACATTATTATAATAATATGAAATTAGGCAAAGCCTATGGACGGGGAAGTCGTTAAAAATTCCTTTCATTCTTTCCGTTTTAAAGGTGTCATTCGGTATTACATGTACCGCTTCCGTTTTCATTCGGAACACTCGGCGATTAACATTTATCCGAAAAGTGGAGATTTGTTCCGTTATCGGAATACCCCGCCATTTATCATTGAGTTACATTGTAAATGGCGGCGCCCGACTAGAACTGACACTGAAAATTTCTTTGATAGGTATAGAATTTTATATATTTTTTAATTGTTTTTTATGTGATTTTCTTTTAAATATACACGTGTAGTCTATAGCCGGGCAAGCCAAAGCCCGGACCCGCTTCGCGGGCCCGGTCTTTGACTTCCCCGTATGAATAAGGCAAATCTCAAAGCGAGCTTGATTTACTTTAACCATGTATGATAAGGGTAGGGTGTCTCTTTGACCCTTGAAATGACTCTTTGATCCTTCAAATTTCCAAAAGCCCTAATTTGACCCTCAGGATTTTAACTGGAGGTTCAATTTTTGTTAAAATCATGGGGATTTGACCTTATAGTCGGTAAAACTTAGTCAAAATGACCCTCAGGATTTCATGACTAGTGAACACCATGTATGATGAAATAGTCATGATAGTTTTGACGAAACCATCACTATCTAGCAGTTACTTGCATTACCGTAAAGCTGGCTTCGTGATCAGGACCTTTTGGCCAGCTCTTCGAGCTCCCTATTTAAAGTCTGATGAACTATATATTTGCAGCATAATGTCTCGGGGTTCTAACAGCGATTGTAAGGTGTATGTAGGAGACCTTGGTGATGGTGCAGCTAAACAGGAACTAGAGGAAGTATTCCAGAGGTATGGACCTCTGAGAAATGTATGGGTAGCAAGAAATCCACCTGGATTTGCATTTGTTGAGTTTGAAGATCCAAGAGATGTAGATGATGCTTGTAAAGCCTTGGATGGCGCGTAAGTATACTCTGATACTTTCAAATTAATATTTAATGTATAACTTTTATCATTAACACAATTTGCACAATGAATGTTTAATTAGTAACTTTGTAAAACTTATCAGTATAACTATTTTACTGAAATCTGAATGACATAGGACAGTTTTTCACAACCACCACAATGTAGAATGTACATGTAATTTTTATTGAAATTGAGTGTGTTAAACTCGAGGCTCAACTGATGAAATACATACCACAATACAATGCTCATGTTAAGTTATAAAGCATAGTTTACATAGATCTGCTTTTAAAACAGACATTGGATTTTTAAACGACAATTTTACAACTTATTTTATAGACATTATTTGGAAAATAAAAAATTTCCATTTAATACACAATTTCTGTCACTTGTAAAGTCTTTTTCTTGACAGATTATTAGAGAGTAAAAAACATTTTTGTTGACAAATACCTTCCTTGATCAGTGGTCCTCACTGACTCACTGTACAGTATTGTAAATTATTTTATAAGTAGTATGTGTTTAAAAATTTGCATTACATTGTCTTATTGCAATTTGCACGGTGTTAACTTTGATGAAGGTAAATTAAAATACAGAATTTATTTTGTGATAACTGTAACTTGTAAGGATATTAAGATTTTTTTTTCCTACAGGAGGATTAATGGTAGACGAGTGAGAGTTGAACCATCAAATGGTAAAACTCGCTGGGGTCGTGGTGGTCCACCTAGACGTGGTGGTGGCCGTGGTGGTGGCGGTTGGGGTGGTGGTGGTGGTGGAGGTGGTCGTCGAGGATTCAGAGGCAGGTCAAGGTAAGAACAAAGTTCCATTTTATGTGTATGTTTGGTGAATCATTTCCTCATTTAGATTGAAAGAAAATGCTTTTTAATGGAGTTTTGTAAGAAACGTTTTGAAAATTGTTTCGTTTCGTTATTGTTTACTGTACATATGTTAGCCATAAAGTATGTTGTCAGAGTATTGTTTGCTATTATTTATCGAAATTATTTTACTTTAAAGAGCATTTTCAATATAAGCAAGACATACCAATGAAAAATGAAACAATTTTGGATCGTCTTTTATTAGTTGTTTGTGTTGTGATATATCCAACTTCTTGGACATTTTGTGACTTTCATTAATTATTATTGTGAATTGTATGAATATTAATAATCATTTATATTCATATTTTGTTGGATAGGGTCAGATATGCTGCTGATTGTTTACATGCTTCATAAAATCCCCAATTATCTTCGGTGCAAAGTCTCTCCGGTATAGCCAACACATGAAGAGCTGTATACATCCCTCGCCTCGTCTCGTCTCGACCTCTTCACCAAAAGTCAACTTACTTTTAGGTCTCTCATAGACTACACTACACAATTAGTCGTCTAGTGGATGGAAAAGGCAAATGCTCTTGTTTGCCATAATTTATCATGCTTATCGTGGTTGATCGACAAATCTTCGGCGCCCCTACATAATCAACAACTCTTCAAGAAAATAATCTCGCCTCTTCACATAAAAGTTAAATGTGGCTAGCTCCGTCGTTGGACTTCAAATTGCTTAAGATTACAACGATTTGTCAATTATGAACTGTATAGTTCTATTTGTACCATCCAGAAAATTTAAATAATGGGCACCTATTCAAAAATGTCGCCTTCATCTTGTACCAATTTAAGTCGTCAAGATTGCATTCAGCCTCTCTCATTTCTACGATGTTTGTTGCACCCTCCTGTAAATCCCTTCTTCGATGTTATCTCGACTTGTTATCATTATGTAAATATAACACACTGCAAAGGTAAACATATTGTAACAAATGTATGACAGGATTGGTTTTAATTTGACACTGCTTTCTTTTCAATTTAAAGTAGATAAAAAGAAGGATAAAATACACAATATGATTATTTTCATAAAAAGATTTAGCTCTTAGCCTGTTGAATGACTAAAATGGATTTGTCAAATTTTTATTTTTGAAACTCCTGATCCGTGTCAATTTTTGGAATTTCAAGATGAAAAATTAAAGTTAATTCTCCAAAGTCTGGCCAACTGTATGGATGTGGCGGTTGGCCTGGCTCTTTATGAGTGATAAGACTATTAAGGCAAATCAGGATTCAATTTCAGCAGGGTAATAGTTAAAGTAGTCTGCAATATTTCATTTTTAAAGTTGCATGCCTCCTGATTACTAAAAATGAGTATTTCAAAATACAGAATTCAAGAAAAATACATGTGTATCAATAGTGTATATTTTGTATAAATAGTCACCACCAGGTTCTTTTTACATATTTTAAATGTCACAGACTCCACCCTCTACAAATTTCCACAGCATTATGTTAAGAATAAGAGATATTCCTGCATATTTTAAGTGTAATTGGTAATTTCTATTTCTTATTATTTAGATCACTTTATATGTGCACAATTTAAAACAATATGTTAAGTTTTCTAAGAATCCGGATGCATGCTGCTTTAATAATTGGATTCCCTTAAAGTTTTTGATTTCTGTTATTCTTTTGTAATATCACTTTTGGTATTGAGAAAGTACAGGTACAGTTTACTCATATGATCATTTCAGTCTATCAGTAGAACAGTAACCTGACCTAGTATGATGTGAAGAATAAGTAAATGTTAACTGCAAAATATTGTTGTAAAATGTAGCATTAGATTTCATTAAATTTACAAATAAAACATAACGACATCACAGTGACGCCATCACCTTAGTGCTGTAATTGGTTAACTACTTATGTAATTTAATGGGAGTAAACACATTATTGCACTAAGGTGACCACACATAATTATCACAAGTTTAAACTGAAATCTGACCCTGCTGATTTTCATTGATTTGAATTTGGAACGGTCCATATGAAGTTTCTGGGATTTTAGTTATTAAAACAAGAGAAATTGATGAGTCATCATTAAAATGTAGGCTCAAACTAAACATAGTAGCAGACTGAACATCATAAGTTACTTATTGTTTATCACTGTAAGAATTACGTTTGGTTGACTTTGAAGCAATATTGCAAGTATATGTAGATGCTATCTTGATTTTGAGGTCAAAGGTCATGGACACTGACGCTGTAAAAAAAATCTTATCAATAACTTGAGAAGAAATCACCCAAAGGTTATGAAACTTACATTGCCCAGGGGCTGTAGGATACCCCTAGTTGTTTAAAGATCATTAAGTAAAGGTCACATGTGTAATACTTTAATCAAGAACAAGAGTTTCCTAATCATACATTTTGTGAAACTGATTATAAAAAAATAGTAAAATTACATGTATACATATAAACTTATTAATATAAACCAATCTCATCAAAATCATATTCTAACTACCCTTCACCTTCACTTTGTTGCGAAGAGTAACAGAGCGAAAACGGTGATCTGATTTTAATGAGATTGTAATATAAACTTGACTTTAATAAAATATTTATAAGTATGCCATTGTGACACAAAATGAAGTAGAGGCACAAATGTCCTATAGGCACATTTCTAGTAAAACAAAATATTAGAAAGAATTAGGAATTTGATTAATTATTCATTTATTGTAAGGCAGTCTTTCAAAAAGGTTTGACAGGACATAGAAACATTATTTACATCTCTACATGTTCATATCATCATTTAATATTGTCATCATTTTGATTTATATAGAGCGTCCGTTTCATGATAAAAATTTTGCTTGCTATGGTTACAGGTCAAGGTCACCCAGAAGAAGGTCACCATCACCAAGGAGATACAGGAGCAGGTATGGTCAATTTAAACTTAATGGTGGAATTCTTTTGCAATTTAATCTTCTGACAAAAATGAAATTGTATTACATGTAAGGAAGAGTAGCACAAGTTCCATTCCTTGTGATTAAATTTGAAAATGTCCGGTTATGTTTCAAAAATCAGTCAGAATTCCACTTTTGCTTAGAAAATAATAAGTGAAGGTGCATTTTAATATGTATTAATCACCAGTTATAGTAAGGATATTGCTGTGTTAATGAATATTAATGGGCACAAACATACAGAGTCTGCATTTCTTTTACTTATTGTTAAAACATTGTCTCATTGTGATCTGCCTGTGTTAAAATATTTGGTATTTTGAACCAGTTTTTCTTACATATACACAACTTTCCCCAAGGTTAACTAAACAGTTGATTTTTAGAATTTTCAAATAAATATAGCAGATTTCTTTGTTGCAATAAATGAAATGGCTACGAGTCATTGTCATCTATGTATCACAAATAGAGCTACAATAATAATATATACTGAGAATAACTTTTTTTTATTGAATCTTGATGTGCAGAAACATAAATTTAGATGAATTATCCTCCACAATTTAAGTATGAAACTCTTTTTTTCTCTTGTCATTTGTTATTGAACTTGTCTAGCTTCAAACTTTGAAATTTTCTAGTATGAAATTGAGGCAAACTTGGATGAAAATTTGAAATTTGTGACATGTCAGCCAACAGTATATTGCCTTGCCAGGCTGCTGTGATGTGCAAGCAGGTACGGCTTTATATTGGTGGCAGAGGCAGATCTTCCAAATTCCAACAGATTAATGGTTAATTATGGTGTTTATTTTCAGGTCCAGATCTCCAGTTCGTAAGCATCAATCAGCATCAAAATCCCCAGAAAGGAGGTAAGACTAATGTAAGAAAATACGTATTTACTATTAATCTTTAAAATATATAGGTCATAGATAAATCATTTAAAGATACATGTATGATGATTGTTTGGAAAAGAAGTCAAAGATAAACTAATTTATTTTTCTGAAATCAAAAAAATCCATACCACTGATGTTTCATTTTAGTTTTAGAATTACTTAAGTATTTGCACTGTATTTTAGCTCAGAGTTGAGGTTTTGTGATGACTGTGTGTCCATCGTCTGTCATTATCTACAGTTTCTTTAAACAACATCTCCTTAACCACTAGGTCGATTTTGATCAAAATTTATAGGAACGATCTTTAGGTGACACATATATTAAATGGTTCGAGTTTGATGCATAAGTAGGTCACAGGAGCTAAGCATATACTTAAATAGAAACTTAATGCCACTAGCTTAGATTATATGCATGTAACATCACTTTGTGGTCCTCTGCAAAAGTTATATAAATTATGCCCTAAAATTGGCACTGCCCCAGCGGTCACATAGTTTAGATAGACTTGTAAATGGATAATACAATTCAGTTTTCTTGTGTGAATACACAATGTCCAAAGCTTAGATATTTGCCTTATTAGCATCTACAAAAGTTTTCAAAGTCATGTCCTTGCCATGGGTTCAAAATTGGCCCTGGCTAGTGGGTCACATTTTTAATAAGGAACTTGTAAAGGAAAAAAGATGCATTATGGTTAGAGTTTAGATGTTTGGTATTTAACTTTGCGTAGTGGATATATACAAAAATTATATGTCATATCCCAAGGATCAATAATGGCTCTGCCCTTGAGTCACTTGATTTAAAAAGACTTTCGTTGTAAAAACTGTTTTAAAAATTTTCTTTTTGAAAATCACGTCACTGGGGTCACTTAGTTTATATAACATTTAAGTCGTGTGAAATTACAATCCCAAGAGCATTGGATATATTTGTCATGTAGCATTTCGTACCAGCCATCTCCTAATGCTTAAAAAAATTATTTAACTTGGGTTAAGAAATGACAAACCCAATGAGTCCTTTTTACTGACTTAAGCATTGAAGAATTAAAAAACTGTGACCTTTTATAACAATGTATCTCTTGTCAGTGATCCCAGGCTATCATGACCTTCTTGTAAAGTATATGATATTTTTGTGAAATAAGTTGTTGTTTTTTATTCTGACACTAAACATTATTAGATGGAGAGAGTATTGTACTTTATGTACATGTAAATACAGATACTGTGAGTTAGACTACTTTATTGTGACATGTTGGTCTTCATATTGTACTCAATATTCTGTCAAAGTTGTGTAGACATTTATTGTTAGGTATATCATAAAACATTGTAGGAAAAATAGTTGTTGATCCAGAACACTGAAAATTTTGGTTTTTCAAGCTAAACCCTCTGGCATAAAAACACATTTAACAATTATTACTTCATGGTGTACTACCCATCACAGTATTATTAGTCAACCTGTTGAGCTGATTTTTGGAGTTGTAACTGTAAAAGTTTAATTATATCCTGGGATCAGCTGGGAAAATCTGAAATGTTCATAATTCTGGAGTAAGTTTATACACTTAAGTTTATTCATTATGCTTAACATTTATCTGGCTAAAATTGTGTGATGGCGTTATTTGCTCACCTGTCACAAAGTGACAGGGTGAGCTTTTGGGATCGCTTTTCGTCCGGCGTCCGGCCGTCGTCCGTCCGTCCGTAAACTTTTGCTTTAAATGACATCTCCTCATAAACCACTGAGCCAGTTTCATCCAAACTTCACAGGAATGTTCCTTTGGTGGTCACCTTTAAAAATTGTTCAAAGAATTTTATTCCATGCAGAACTCTGGTTGCCATGGCAACCAAAAGAAAAAACTCTAAATATCTTCTTTTAAAAAAACATAAGAGCTAAAGCTTAGATATTTGGCATGAAACATCTTCTAGTGAGTGTCTACCAAGTTTGTTCAAATAAAAGCCCTGGGGTCAAAATTGGCCCCGCCCGGGGGGGTCATTGATTTTCCCTATATGCATATAGTAAAAACTTAAAAAATCTTCTTTTAAAGAACCCAAAGAGCTAGAGCTAAGATATTTAGCATGAAACATGTTCTAATGGGTGTCTACCAAGTTTGTTCAAATAAAAGCCCTGTGGTCAAAATTGGCCCCGCCCCTGGGGGTCATTGATTTTCCCTATATACATATAGTAAAAACTTAAAAAATCTTCTTTTAAAGAACCCAAAGAGCTAGAGCTAAGATATTTAGCATGAAACATGTTCTAATGGGTGTCTACCAAGTATGTTCAAATAAAAGCCCTGGGGTCAAAACTGGCCCCGCCAGGGGGGGGTGGTCATTGATTTTCCTTATATGTGTATAGCAAAAACTTAAAAATCTTCTTTGGAAGAACCCAAATAGCTAGAGTTTAGATATTAAGCATGAAACATCTTTAAGTAAATATCTACAAAGTGTGTTAAAATAAACGCCCGGGGGTCAAAACTGGCCCTGCCCTAGGGGTGTCATTGTTTTTAACTATATGTGTATAGTAAAAACTTTAAAAATCTTCTTTTAAAAAAGCCAATGAGCTAGAACTTAGATGTTTAGCATGAAACATCTTCTTATGGGTGTCTACCAAGTCTGTTCAAGTAAACAAATAAAAGCCCTTGGGTAAAAATTGGCCCGGGGGAGGGGGGGGGGCCTATATACAGGTGAGCGACCTCAGGGCCATCATGGCCCTCTTGTCCTAAATTTAGAACTTTTCAGTGAGGGATATTGATATTAGACCGCAAAAAATGATCGGCCAACAATATAAAATAGAGAAAAAGGACGCCCAAAATAACAAAATTGAAAATGATGCAGACAAAATTAAAAATATTGCAGACTCGGTTAGACTGTTATATAGACACTGTAATGAGAAGGCTGGTTTATGCTTTGTTACCATTATCATTTTAAGAGTTACCCTATATTTATTACAATACACTGGTACTTAGGGGTCTGTCACACAATAGCGTACAACTTTAACAAATTGGTTATGCTCACTTACGCCAATTTTCATTACCTTATGCTTCACCCGAATGTTTGACATTTTTTAGCCTATTAATTTTGATTTCTCAAACAAACTTTCAATTGGATGTACATTGCGTCGTCTTTGTGGTGCTCTTGTTGGTATGAAAACCCATTTGAAAAATAAACATGAACAGTTCTAAATTTAAAACAGGATAAGCCCAGAATACAATTTTGGAACATTGTTTATGTTACTGGATAATACAGGTGAAATCAGGAATTGTTGTACTTTTAGCCTTAATTCTCACTTAATGCTTTGATTACATTCAGCACATGTATTTTATATGTTTTATATAATAGCATAATTATTGTTGAACAGTTGTTACATTTTTTAGTCAAAGAACACTTAAAAAGATAATTCTTATACATTTGTATATCATTTATTAAATATTTAGCATTTTAATTTTATATTAGCAATGAAATTATAAGGATATTCGAAATTAAATGTATTTTAATCATCCAGTCCAATGATTACTTTATTAAATTATACCTGTATGTAAATGCATGGAAAAAAACTGGTAGACTTGAAAGGTTTTGTAATTTAACACTTTACCATCCTACTATATATGTATACATTGTATATGAATTACTGTTAAAGATGTTATTACTTTTTGGCTATCCTTTCATTATTTTCGTAGAAAAATTATATAATTATGAATTTCTTTCCAACTATAAATATCATTCAATTATTTTGTAGTTCCTTTCTATCCACCCAAACAGCTTCCTTTGATAAGCATATATAGCCTCATTTGTCATAATATTTGCAATTCATTATGTGTCCATATCTTTGTAGGAATCACTAGAACCAGACAAAAGTTAACAAATTATTTATTTGTTTCAGAAGCACTGGTAGAAGAGAATGGGACTAGATATTTCACATTGGATCTGCATTCTCAACTACAGTTCTACACCTTATATAATATGAAGTGATTCATTGGATGTCATAATGTTGTCATATTGTTACACCATCCAATATATGATGTAATATTCCACGGATAATCATGATGTCATCTAAAGTCATAGATACTTTTTGAAATTTTTGTTGTCATCTGATCTCTTATATTGTATTTTATAATAAAGCCGCGTCACAACAAAACCAACGACCAGCATGGATCCAGACCAGCCTGCGCATCCGCGCAGTCTGATCAGGATCCATGCTGTTCGCTATCAGTTTCTCTACTTGTTAAAAGGTTTAAAAGCGAACAGCATGGATCCTGATCAGACTGCGCAGTAGCGCAGGCTGGTCTGGATCCATACTGGTCGCAAACCCATTATGTTGGTTTTGTCGTGACAAGGCTCATATATTATCTTTTATGTTGTTTGACAGCATATTGCTGAAACTGTGAAATAATTTATGTCATAATTGATTACAGATTTTCTTCATGTAATGGACTCAGTATTAAATTCCATTTTTTTTCTTGAGATATTTAATGTGCGTATCTGACTAGCAATTAAAAAAAATGTTTTATTTACTTATACATGTAGTGATTAAAACCAGTTTCTAGAAACTGAAACAAATTTCAATTTAACAGAACAGATTGTCACCTTAGTGCAGTAAAGGGTTTACTCCTTATATTATTCAATAGGAGTTAACCTGTTACTGCTTAAGGTGACAAGATATACTTTCAAATGGTACATAAATTCAATGGCAGGCAGAATTTTGTTAAAGTGATAGTGATTTCTATTTCTTTAAATATTACATTGTAGTTTTGTAGAATTTGAAATTCAACAATTATTATTTTAAAGTGTTTGCCTTTTACCTGCATTTGTATTACAAATTGAGGACAAATTGCATCACTGCCAGGGGAATATGTTGTTGTATAGTAGTGATATTGGGAGAAGATGTTTAAGTAAGTGGGGGTAAGCTCAGTAGTAAGATCTGTGGAAAAGTATTACCAGGGTGTAGAGTATGTGTCTAAGTCAGGATGTACATTCTTTTTACCTTGTGACATTTTAAATGTTAAAGGCCCATTATACCCCAGAAATGTTTTTATTTTAATTTCTATAAAACTTTTTGTTTTTGGTGTACTTCTATAGTTTCAAAAAAAGTTAACATATTTTTCTTCTTTTGCTTTTTGACAATTAGTACTGCTTCAGTGAATTAGTATTTTGTATGGAAGTCAAGTTACTACTTTGTTTACTTTGGCTACTTTTCGACAAATAATTTCACTATAGCACTACTTACTTCAGGTAACAAACATCTTACATGCTTGTAAGTTATTATTTAAACCATATAAAACTCAGCTTTGTCCTTTTGGAAGAAGTAAAAATTTATTCATTTCTGAAGCATAATGTGCCTTTAAAATGTTTTACCAATGTTGTTACTTTGTTTTAAAAAGAATCTAAAATTGTCTGAACTAGTCGAGGTATATATGATCATTTAATGGTTATTCCATCAGAACATTATGAAGTTCATTCATTACTTTTGCCAAAAATTCTGAAAAAGACAAGAATTTTATTTTACATTTATCAGATTTGACAAGCTTTTCCTTTTACATGTTTTGTGTAGTGAACACAAAAATTGTATTATTTCATGTTTCTAATTTATTTTTATTTACCTTTTTTCATAGTGTGTATACTTACATTTGAACTGTGTTCAAAATGCTGTTTTTATGCATATCTGTGTTTTCAAATCTTTTCTATGTGTTTGTTAATTAAAGTCAAATGTATGTGTGAAGTCACTTTTACCACTTGATTGTACATGTATAATGTTTCATTGAGTTTACGTGAATAGTTTAATTTAGTTATTACAATATTAGCCCTTTAAAACAAGTTGTTTGTTACAAACACATTACTTTAAAGGGACTCCACTGAGGTTTTTTGACATGATGGGACTAGAAATAATTTTTCGAGATAAATGTTCCATTTGATGTAGGTCTAGATTAATAACTAGTGTGCAAAATTTCAGATCATTCTTTCATTCCGTTTTCCAGAATAATTATTTTAATTGTGAAAAATGACCCAAAATTGTGATAGATCTAGTTGTTCTTCACCATGAAGATTAGTGTTGACATAAGTAGGGCTTTAGGAATATAAAACAAATTTTTTAAGAACTTGACAATCATGTTTCCATACTCATATCTTCAAAAGACAGTTAAAAGTTAAAGGCCCATAAAGTGCCAAAAATGATATTCTTATTTTTTTTTTTCTCATTTCCTACAGTGACTTTCCTGCTTATATAACAGGCTCCGATAAAAAGCTCTTCCCAATTGAAATTTTCTTTAAAATCATGCAGTTTTCCCAAAAATCAGAACTTAAACATGCTTTTTTACTTCCCAAATTATCAATTTTAGCGATAGATTTTCCCACAATTAAGAGGCCTTCCCAATTAAGTGAGAAAAATCACTGTCCTAAAATCTTTTAATTAATAATTTTTTTATAACATTTTCCAAAAAAGAAAAACAAATATGTCCATTGACCATATACAAGTAGCTGAACTTTCTTGAGCTGCACATTTTTAAAAAAAAAAAAAAAGGTAAAAGCTATAAAAAGTAAGTCTTGACACCACTTTGTTTAAATGTTGTTACCATAACAACAAAATATTTTACATCCAGCACTACTTACTGTCGATGATAAGCATTCCATATGCTTCGAGTCCATTTATAAAACATTACTTGCACATGTTCGCTGCTTCTAAAGAAAAAGCAAACAACAAACAAGCAGACCTATATATTTGGGGCATAATGTGCCTTTAACTTAATAAACTGTTCCATTATAAAACGTTTTATCTCTATTTCTTTCAAAAATTGGTTTAAGTATATTAAACGCTGCTCCCTTTCACAGAGGTTTATATACATTATACTTCAATTCATTGTTTTTTATAATGATACTTAAGAAAAGGGCTAACAAATTTTGAAATATTGTAGATAATTGACAACTGAGCATATATACTCTCATGCTCATGGATAATAATTTGTGCATTATCAATAGGTATTGTTACATAGTGAATTTATTATTTCTGAAAAGTAGCTTTTAAAGACTGATTTTTTTTTATATGAGAAAACTATACTTGTGTTTCAGGCCTGAAATAGTGCAAGAAGAGGCTCCGGAGCTCAGTCTTCTCAGTAAAGCTTGAAAGTCATCACATGGCCCCTTACAGTGTCAGTTTTACTTTTAAGGCCACTAAAAATATTTTTTTATCTTTTTCATATATTGATTGAATTTTAATTATTATTTATATTAAGGAAAAAAAGTAGATAACTTGTTCACTTCAATGACTTTCATTGTTCAATGCTGTTTTTTCAACGAATGTTACAGTTATACAAATATTTAAAGGTTCATGCAATGCTGTAATTCATAAAAGAATAGGGAGAAACAAGTTTTATTTAAAGATACCCATTGTTCATTTGTAAGATAGGTCTCATTAAATTTCATCTTTGTTGTTATAAATATATTTTATGTGTGTTTCTTTTGTAAATACATGTCAAAATAAAATGTAATAAATGAGTTTAAACAGTGATCTGATGTTATGTTATCATGAGCAGAAGGTGTTTGGGTGACTTTTTTAAAAGAGAGGTAGAAATGATGGGGATTGGGGAGGGTAGTGTGGGCAGAACTAGAGAGATGAGTATTATGGCGGGACTTCCATGGTTTACATGGCATTTTCTCAGAATTTGATAAACAAGTTGTGCTAGGGCACAGATCACCAGGTGATTTAATGAGGTTAAACCCCCAACAGACTCCGGTCCCTGATTTCCTGAATTTTCTATGAAAAAAGGGATATAAAGACAAAAACAACAGCTTTAACTGAGCATAAATTGAATGTAGGACACTAAGTTATTACAAGTCATTGTAATGAAACTTGTCGGGCCATGAAGTGATTTGATGTACCAGTGTAAGATTGTATACTAGGATGGGTTGGTGGGTCATAAAGACAATTTCAGTGTCGGCAAATATTTGAGTGCACACCTCAAATTGCTCCAATATTTAGTACCGTCAAACCGAATATGAAATAAAAATCTGGCAGAACAAACGGTGCTGATTCATACATCTATTCCTTTGCAAGTGATCCTGCCACTCCAGCACTAAAACATTAAAAACCCTATACTAAAAATAGCTATGATGACAAAGGGATTACTTCTCTGTCTTCTGTATGACCCTCTGTCCGTCCGTCTCAATAAAACTTGCCAGGACTACCCCTCAAAAAGTACTGGTGCAATTTCATTCAAACTTTGAAGGAATAATCGGTACCGAGTCAAGTTGTGCATATAGTCGGCATTTTCTGGTTCGTGATTTCTGACGAAGTTAATGTCCTTTAATAATTCTTATTTTTAAAGTTTGTTCGGACTACTCCTCTTATACCACTTTTACAATTTCAATGAGACTTTACAGGATCGATTGTTGCTAATATTACACAGATTTTAGCTTAGGTATTTTTGTGTTGGCAGCTACACAGAAGTTTTTCTGGACTACACCTCAGAAACATCCGGTGCAATATCATCCAAACTTTACAGGAATGAGTTAACAAAGTCTGAAGTGTAGTTGTGCATATCATTGGCATTCTCCGGTTCAATAATTTTTAGCTCGACTTTTTTTTTTTTGAAAAAAAAAGTCGAGGTATTGTTATAGTCAGGTCGGCGTTACCTTTGCCGTTGCCGTCCGAAAAAAATTGTACCTGGATCATAACTTTTTTATTTCTTGGTGTATTGTCTTCATACTTGGCCACAACAACCTTTGGGACAAGACCTTTCAGTAGACCACACTAACCTTGACCTTCATCCATAAATGACCTTGACCTTCAAGGTTAAAAGTCCAATTTTTGCTTGTTCATGCTGTTATTGGCTGTTACTTTGTTATTTTTGAATGGATTGTCTTCAAACTTGAACATAATAATCTTCAAGGATATCCCTTAAAAATAACCAGTCAGACCTTGACATTCACTCATCA